TTCTCTGATTACATAGAGTCACAAGGTCTCCTTAAGACTTGTATGTCTTACAGCTTTATTGGCAACAATGATGGCAAACTCATAGCACGAAAAGCCCGGTTGAAAGTGGGAAGACTATCGGTCCACAAAGCAAAGCAAAAAAAATTAATGCAGCTCAAACCCCCCATAAAAGAAACTGTTACAATGCTCGGGAAGCCAAAGAGGAACCGGATATGCAAATTTGAATTTTATTTAACAGTATAAAGAGGGGGATAAAAAAGGAGCATGGATGTGAGATACTTCCTTGGGTTATGCTTTTTCCCAAAGCACATATTTTTTTTTCAAACAGATTTTCCTAGAGAAGGATATTATTATTATTATTATTATTGGAGACACCGCGCTACTCCCTAGCAGAGCAAACCGCGCCAACACAGACTATCTACGAAAAACATACATCTTGCTGTCTGCTGTGGAAAACCACCTTGCACTTTAATTTCTGTCACCAGAAAAATGTTGCGTCAGTCGAATCCAAAAGTGATTTGTCTGAAGGATCAAGGGGGGACAAAGTCACTTGGCCTTGCTGTACACTAACAGCAAAGTTGCTTCCTAGCTTCGAAGGGAGACAATGCTAAAAACTTCAAGACTCACTGCTATCGTTTTTGAAGTAATCAATTCGGATGACCTCCACATCAGCACCTCGCTCGAAATGCTTCCCCTCCACAGGTAGAACAACATTTGTTCGAGTGATTTCTACATCATCACAATTCAATCGGTCTGCTGAAGGAAGAAGGAACTGCACCTCGTAGATGGTGTGCTGTCTAAGCATTCCAAGACCAATTTCAAAGACCGCCAAGTCCTCCGGAGCATCAGGAGGTCGAGAGATGGTGATTGGACTGCCATCCTCGTCCTCATCCGTCATCGCCGGATCCACAGTCCCAGAGAAGGGTCGTGGGCTAGCAGAACGAAATGGACACACGACTGCCCGGTGACCAGATCCCGTGCTTCGAACCGAGACGTTGTCACCCTCGTGAGAGGAGCAATAGCCCGAAGCCTCAATTGATCCTCCGCCACTCCCCTCCGCCTCTTGAAGGTGACAGTCGACTAGGAATTGAACACTGCGTTTCTTTCGCATCCCCAGATGCGGACTCAGCTTCGTGCTATCATCGGCCATTTTAGAGTCTGTCAGGAAAATGTGTTCCTTAAAAAAAGGCTTCATAGATGTCAAGATAGAATTCATGTGTATGGTGCAGTGAATTAATAACTATTAAAGAGTTCTTTTTAGCCAGAAGAGGTGTCGAAAACTATGAAAGTAAAAGTGAGTCGCATGATATGAATACGTGTGGTCCTAACACTGCAGTCGCGCATTTACTGCCAACCCTGTCAAAACAGTGCATGACAATCCGAGATAGCAACAGCGGAGTAGCTTTTTGGGAGCACAAAGGCCCATCTGGAGGGCCGGAGGAGGGTGTGGGAGGGGCCAAGAGACATTGTTTACGAGAAGCTAAATAGAGGCAGACAACAATGATGCAGTAGGTCACAAAATTTCTCCCTTAAAATTGCACTTTTTTTCCACACCAGTGCGCAATCCCAAGGTAACTCTTGGAGAGTTTCTAAAATCACCTTTATGGGTAATTTTAAATGTACAAGGAACAAAACAAATTAAATATTCATGGAAAACATTAAATTCCGTAGTGAGACAGCGAAACTAACTCCATACCTAAACTGATTGAAGAAGTTAGGCAGATTGAGAGATAGCAGGCTAGAGGTAACAACTTTGCGGATGCCTCCAATCTTCCAGATCCTCCTTCCCATGCACCATTGTAGCCCAATGAAAGGTTATCAAGTTATGGAGGATGATAGTTCTTAGTCTTGGCAAAAAATGATGAGGACCAGAAAAGAAAGACCTACACTCAATTCATGGAGTTCTAAAAAACCACAATCCTAAACATTAATGCATTGAAGCATTAATGGCAGGAGGGTTAGAGAATGATATGGATGTAGCGTAGCCAAAAAACACAAGCACTATGAAAGAGGTTTATCCGCTCGAAGGAGGCGTGAG